CTCTGCTCCAGAACAGCCACATGCACAGGTGGGGTCATTGCCCAGGCACAGCCACACACCAGCAGGACCATCCAGCAGCAAGACACGGGAGATGAGGGCTCTCTCCTGCCTGTGCTATCCACCCCGGGGAGCAGAGGTGAGCTGCCCTGGGAGCAGATCTCTGGGGCTTGGGCTGCATCTAAGAGGATCTGAGCTACCAGCTGCTTAGCTCAATGGGCTTTGCTGACGATCCCATAATAGGATTGGGGCGAGGAGAGCCTGGAGGACAGCACCCATGGTAGGGCTGGCTGTGGAGGAGAGGGGCTCCCAGCCAGATCCCCCTGTTCCCACAGGGCAAAGGTCCTGTGGTCCTGTGTGCTCACCTGGATGACATTCTGGACTCTCTGGGTTGGGCTGGTGGGGGTCCTGCCAGATGCCTCCATGATGCCCGCCTGGAGATACTGGATGCTTCTGGGCACGGGCTGCTGCCAAAAGAAACAGAGAATGGCAGCACAAGTGACCACAATGGACATGGCCTTTATGTATTCCTCCTGCACATCACAGACAGCAGCCTGAGCATAAACCCTACTCATTCCAAACCAGCATTTGCCACCAACAGGATGCCCATCCTGAGCTCCCATTTCCAGCGTGTCAGCAGCTGCCTGAAGTCAGCGAGCATCCCTGCCTGCCGAGGCACACATCCCCATCTGCCCAGGGAAACCCACATGCATGCCAGGTGTCAGGACAGACATGGTCCCTGCTCAGTTTTGCGGAGGCGGTGTAGGAAACACACACCCTAAACGTCAAGAGTGGTGGACAAGCAGACCCCCAGTGGCCACCAGTGGACAAAGACACACAAGCACAGGATCTGGTTGTCCCCAGTAACACCTGCCTGCCATGCGTGGCACAACCCAGGTACTCCTGAACCTGTCACCAGTGCCCGTCCCCAGCACCCAGGCACACACCTCTGCTCCCACGCAGCCCGGCAGCAGCAGCAGCTCGGGGTACACAAGCTCGGCTGTCTGTGTCATGTCCCTGCTGAGGTGGCACACAGGCCAGCAGCTGGCAGGGCTGGCTGCCCATGGAGTAGCTATGCTGCCACTCATTCTCTGCGTGGGTGGGAGGCAGTTTGGGAAGGAACTTCCGTCACCCGGCGCTCACGCCATGTCGGGATGCTCCAGGGTTACTAAATTTACCGTCTGCTGTTCCCCATGTCCCTCCCTTCCGCCCAGGACTGGCCAAGTGCAGCTTAACCCTTCCCATGCAGCCCAACCAGGGAGTACTCTATCTCCGTTGGGGATCCCAGTCCCAGGCCACCAGGAGAGGACCCAGGCTCAGCCCCTGGCAGCACTGCCCGCTGTCCCGCCAACCCCCGGAGGGACCCCCGAGCTCGGCCAGCACCGGGCTCAGCTGCGGGGGCGAGTGAGCGGCTGTTACACACTGTGGAAAAAATGAAACGCTGGAAAACACCAGGCATGGGATCCAGGGCTGGGATGAAGCCCATGTCTCCTACGACACCAGAGTTGGCTGCCCCACAGCAAGGTCTCCTTGGGGACCACAGCCACCCCACGCAGAATGGGGACAGCTCAGCTGGGGCAGGAGGAAGCAGAGACGCAGTACCCCAAGAGCAGTTCACCAGTGCCCACCAGCTGCCTTCCCTTACCTGCCACCTGGTCCTGGAGCCGAGTGGGACCCTCCACGGCAGGGTGCCCATGTCCCCCAGGCACTGGGATGCTGCACTTCCCAGCATCTGGAGACCCTGCAGCCCAGCTGAGCCCCTACCCCTTGCTTGCACACAATGTCTGGAAAGGAGGAAAATCCAGGAGGGGCCAGGCTGCTGCACAGGAAGGGAGCGGGGCCAGGGTGGGATCCTGCGCCGGTGTTAACTCCTTCCCAGCACAGCTGTACTGGTGAGACCAGGTGAGAACCATGGGGGACCCCCATCCCCTGGGCAATTGTCTGCCCACACTCTCCACCTAACACCCCCCACTCCACAGGCAGGCTTGTCTGCCCATGAGCCGGAGGGTGACCCTGGCATCCCACCGCTGCCCGATGCACCCTGTCCCCCAGCACTGCCCTCCATCAGAGCCCCTCACCTGGCTCCTCACCACGCAGGGGACGCCTGTCGTTCCTCCCAGCCCGTCCCGCTGGGGATGCAGCCCCTCTCCAGCCGGCTCTGCCGTAGGAATGCGGGGCGGGAGCGCAGCCGCCCCAGCCGGCGCCCCACTGCTGGGATGGACAAGGCAGCCTTTCTTCTCCCACCGCCGCCTGCAGAACGCGCTGCTTGTTCCCGCCGTGGGAAGCGGTGAAGGCAGCAAATGCCAAGGGGTCGGGCTCGGTTACCGCCAAACAGCCCACGGTCCCCGTGCACCCCGCGCGCAGGGCTGCCCACTCAGCCTCGGCCTCCTGGAGGACAAAAGCCCCTTTCTTCCTCCCGGCGCAGCCAAAAGCCTCACCTGGGAGGACGCCTATCCCCGCCGATGCGGGGGTCCTGCCAACGCCGGGCGGGCTGCACAGACACGCTGCCCCACCGCGCTCCCGGGGAGCCCCTGCACCCCTCTGCCCGCGGGCTGTGACCTGCCCGCCTGCCCCGAGCCCACAGGGCAGGGGGTGCTCAGGGGTCCAGTCCTCCCGACCTGCTGCTGACTCCCCAGACCCAACCTGGGCACAGGACGCTCTGCCTCGCCCCCCGTCAGCATGGCCAGGTGCCAGCAGCAGGCAGGCAGACCCCAGAGCTGCACCGTGTGCTGCTGGCCAGGGCACTCTTGAGGGAGCACAGCCTGGCAGACCCTGCCGTGCGGTGTCAGCCATGCCTGGGATGCAGCATGGAAGAGGCAGGCACATGGCACCCCTTGCCGTGGCCTCTCCTCCCCACTCGTGGCCGGGTGAGTCACGGGAGGCGCTGGAGTGGCCGAGCTAACGGGTGTACATGGCAGAGCATCGCAGCCTCCGGCCAACTTGGCCGCCTGCTCGCTCCCCATCTGCTAACGCACTTAGGGCGCGCTCACCCCTTCCCACACCCTCTGCCCCGGTAAACAACCAGCCCTTCCGGCGGCAGCTGGGAAGGGGGAGCCCGTCTCCAGCACAAAGCCAGAGGGCAGCGAGGAGCCTGCTCCTGGCGCTACCTCCGGATCTGGGGCTGACCCACAGCGAGCAGGGGAGACCCAGCCGGCCCCATCCCACCCAGGCAAGGGGCGGTGGGGGCTCCATTGCGGTTGCTAGGACAACGCCACGATCCTGGCAATAACACCACGGTAAATCAGCCGCCAGACAGCTCCAGCGGGAGCCGAGGAATCCCGGCCACACCCGCTGATTTCATCGCTCCCGGGAAGTGCTCCCGCACCACTGCAGCACAGCTGTGCTCCTGCCGAGGCCCTGCCAGCATCACACCTCGGGCTCTCCACAGACTGGGGGTTGCCCACCATGTACTCAGGTCGGGGAGGGCGTACAGCCCTGCTTTCCTGCGCCCAACACTCCCCCAGGTGAGCCAGCTCCAAAGGCTGCTGACACCATACGCAGTCCCAACCACTGCTGCAGCTCAAGCACCGACCCCAGCATCAGCATGTGCCTCCAGACACCGCAACACAGACAGGGAAACCTCCACCATGAGCTCCAGACCCCTCAAGGCTGCACAGTGAAAAGCTGCTCCTCAGAACACTCTTCTGTGCAATGATGACTTCTCAACTGCAGGCCAGAGACTCAGCTCAGCGAGGAGCCTCTGTGACTCCCACTAATGACATCTCACAGATGATAGCACAGGATAGGTTTGGTGGGTCTTGAATCCAGCCCTTGGCATGAACTCATCACCCAGCCCTGTGTTTGCTGGGAGAGGGGCAGGGTGAACCTCCCCTCTCCAAAACAGGCATTGAGCACTCTCTGGTGTCTGGCTGACAGCAAGGACCCCTTGCTGTGCAATCCCGTGGCTCCATCCCCCTGCATTGGCACCCTGCCCTGCTGCCCCCCATATACCAACACACAGCATCACAGAGCAAAACCCAAACATGCAAGGAGTTACTAAAAAAGCACCCGACAGTGCTGCCTTACATCTGAGCTGCCTGTGGTGCCTGGCCAGGGGACCTGCCCCCCTGCAGCCCGTGCCTGGTGCCCAGAGAAGGCTGGCAGCTTGCAGGGCAGCTGGAGGAATGGGGGAGAGGGCCACCCTTCGGCACAGCAGCTGGACCTTCTGGGGCTGCCAAATTCCTCTGGCTTTCTGACAGCGGCTGAAGGGGCTGTGGCAGGAACGTGGCAGGAAGCTGGAGTAAACAAAGTCCAGCCATGGAGCAGGGTCCAGCCAGGCCAGCACCGTTCCCAGGCTCCCCAAGAGGATTCAGGGACAGCAGAGGTGGCCTCAGGCCAAGCACCATCTCCCCCTCCAACTGCTCTCCAGCTGCAGCAGGATTTGGATGGGAGAGCCTTGTCCAGCCTCCCGCAGAAACCATACTGCTCTGGGGGCTCCCACACCCCAAACTCACCACTGATGTGGACCACCAGACCCAGACCCAGCTCCCAGTGCACCCACACACCCCTAAAGCATTGTGCACTGACCAGTTGTATGGCTGATGGGGTTTTTCCTACTTTACTGCCTGCAGCTCCTTCCTTGCTCCCCTCCCAGAGTGCCCCGGGGGGCAGGGATCCCAAACACGTTCCACACCTGGCCCTGATAGGAGCCAAGGCAGCTAAGCCCCCTCCCCTCGCCCCCACCACATCACAAAGCTGCCCCCAAAGCACTGAGAAGGTCCCTGCAGGGCAGGACACGCTGAAACCACCCTCACAGGCTCCCCAAGGCAGGGGCCGCCTGGGCCACGAGTAGGGGAGGGTCCCACCCCATCCCGGCAGCCGCTCACCTTCACTCCCCTGGACCGGCAGCCCCTCCTGGGCTCTGCCGCCGCCGCCGCTCCGCTGTCCGCCACCGCCTGCCACGGCCGTGTCCCCGCCCCGCCCGGTGCCGGCCCCGTCCCGCCCCCGCGGGGCCTGGGCTGAGCAGCCCCGGCTCCGGAAGGACCTCACGACCCCCAGCCAGCTCCTTTGACAGTACTTTATTTGATTAGACTCAGTATTCTCTGTGTACACTGGAATGTGCTCTATTCCCTAGGCCAGGATCATATGGGGTTACAAAAAGGGGAGATCTCAGCTTGGTTTAAATATCACCCTCCAACGAATGTAAGAAAAAAAAGCTCCTTGGATGCTTGAACTAACCTCGACTCCATTTTAAAAATCATACAGACAAGCAGCTCTGGAACAGGACCAGGTTACTGGGATTCGTTGCCTACTTTGCTAGGGAGGAGGGTTTGCCCTCCCAGGACAGGACCAGGGTTGATTTCTCTCTCAGGTGCTGCCAGCAGAGGAGAGACCACGGACTTCTTTGGCAGAGGACCCCAGGGGCCCATGACAGGCTGGCTGTCTCTCACAGAGCACAGTACATGCACTTCTAGGGCCTTTGCCTTCCCCACACACACTCAGGCCCTCTGGCCAGACATGAGGGGTGCCTGGGGGTAGGTGACACTTGTGACAGGCCCCAGCCACACAGGTGAGATGAGTTGTGAAGGGAGCACAGGTCTGTGAGATGAGGCAAATAATGCTGGTGAGGCAGTGGGGGGAGGAACAGCTCAGATCAGCCCCCATATTTCCTGGAAAACAGCGTTTCCTTCTCCCCCACCTGCCAGCGCTGAACACTGGTTTGGGACGTGTTCTGACCAGCAGGCAGAGTTACCCAGGTTCAGCTCCTTTCACCCAGGCAGGAAAAGCCTTCTGCCTCCCCAGACACCAAAAGGGCCTTGCAAAGGACACATAGCTGGTTCTAACCTAACTAAACCTCCTCCAAAGCCTGGCCCAGGAGCAGCTGTGGCAGACAGCGAGGACACAGTCCCCTACGGAAGCTCTTCCCCTGCAGCAGGAGCCAGAGCACCTGGAGCTGAGCCATCGGAGCACAGCAGGGCTCAAGGAACGGCAGTAACCACGTGGGGCAAAAGGACCAAAGCCCCTGGTCCCTCTTACCCACCCTGTGCCCCTGCTACGATCCCCCCACCTCTGAGGCCAAGGGCAACTTGCTCAGCTTCCACCAGATGGAAGGGTCCGGAGCAGCAGGCGGCCCCACACACGTTCTCTCAGTGCCTGCTTTCCTCAATGGAAACGAGAGCTGGAGGACGAGGAGAAATCAAAATGTAAGCACCAACAATGGAACAGCATGTGACGCTTTGGGAGGGTAGGGAACGATGTCTGGTCGGCTCTGGGGCTGAGCTCCGGGCGTCGCCAGGGGAGGAGGGAACACATCAAAGTCAGGCTCTCTGCGGAGATCTTGCTTTTCTGCCGGCCGGTAAAAATCTGCCAAAGAAATTTGTGGCCTTTCCCCCCACGAGCACGTCAATTCTCTTCCAAAAATGTCTGTGACCCAGGAACGCTGCAGATGGCAGACAGAGCCACATGTCCTAGCAGAGGGGGCTGCGGCGTTCCCAACATTCAGAATAAATGTCGGTCTCTTTTTTTTTTGTTTTAATTTAAAAAATTTCTTCCTTTGCACTTCCCCACGTCTAGCATTACAGGATTTCGTACTTGTCCACCAGGAAGGTGGTTTCAGTGGAAAACCTTACAGGGCTGTTCCCGTCTACCTGGGTCACTTTGGTAACCTGTGGAGACAACAGGCAGTGTTAGTTCAGCATCAAACCCCGCTCCCCACCACAGCGATTCTGTGTTTCCCCAACGCTGGAATGGTCATGAGGGAAGAACTGACCCGGCGCCTTCGAACCACAACTCAGCCCTGAAACAAAGATCTTTGTTCCCAGGAAACCTGAAAGAGTGGAGTGATCTTCTGTGGTAACTGTGTCTCCACTGAGGAGTGAAACGGCAGCTGCTGGCTACACTTCAGTGGGGGCAGACAGTCATATGCCAAGCAGTGTTTTGGCTCCAAGGCCGATGGATTCTCTAATGAAGTCTGAGGGGAATTAATGATTCCTCAGAGGCATGAAGGCACAACTGAAACTGCAGGCAAGCTCTGCGAGGTGTCAGCTGCCAGTGCTGTCTGCTGGCACTCCCAAATCCAGTTATCTCAGTAGCAAGTAAATGTCAACCCCTCAGCCATGGCCAGTGGGACAGCAATGCCCCACTGCAGCACGGCCAGTGTCAGTCAGACAGGGACTGAGGCAAGAGTGACATCACACCTGTGGAGCACCAGCAGTGACCATACCTGTATGTTGCAATAGTTCTTTTTGGAAACGAAGGCGACTTGCACCGGGAAGAAGTCGTTTGGCTGCCCTGCTATGCTGAACTCCAGGCTGCCACTCTTGTTTTTGGCATCTATCACTGGCAGGCACCACTCGAGGAGGTTTCTCCGGCTGTCGTGGCGATACTCGCCATCAATCTCCCCAATCACTGGGGCACCGACACCAGACCTAGAGCAGGCAACGAGAAGTGAAAATAACTTCCCTGCACAGAGCTAAGAAAGTGCCTGTAACACCTGTCAACTTGACCAGACCCACAAACCAGGGAGGAGAAGGAGGTGGACTTGTTAGTGCTGCTCGGACAAGGAATGTTACTCACGGCAAGGGGATGGTGATGATCACATCGTTCAGCTCTAGACTGTCCTCTTGCAACTCATATTCAATGTTGACATCACAACTGTTCCCACTCTCTGAGGGCCAGCAGTTAACTGAAGGCACAGAGACAGTGTGTGAACCACGCAGGCCTTCCACATGAAGCAGGCTTTCACTTTGAAATGCCCAGCCAAGTCATCCCCTAGAAATTCTGACTTTAAGAAAAGCTCTGTTTTCTTTGAGAGCATTACAAAAAATGCACACTGCTGAGGGCAGGCACTATCCACTGGATACACACAGGATCTCCAACGTCTCACACTGTGCCATGCTCCAGGCAGCCCAGGTGGATATAAACAAGCAGCCCACAGGCAAACATCAGCCTCTTCCGCCCGAGCTCCCAGACTCGCACTCACTTGTCAATGGAATGAAAGACTCTTCCGTGGTCTGCAACCTCCACTTCAGCACGCCCACGTCACTGTTAATAGGGAATGACTTCTCTGGGTTCTTCAAACCAATCTGTGACTCTGTAGTGAAGAGTTTCTTGTCCACATTTGGGTGAGTCTGAAAGAAGAACACATGTCCAGGCTGTAGGTAAGCCCAAGGACAGAACTGTAGGTAATGCAGGTTCTACCAGGACAGGCCTACACAGAGTGTTTTTCTTGACAAAACACACATCAGGCTTGCTCATGGCTCAGAAGTCCATCTGGAGCACACCTGCTTATCAATTTGGGATTCCTTCCAGGAAATGCTGATCTGACAAGAAGGATCCATACCACTGCCATTCTTATGTGTCACTGCACCAGAGACTCTAGCAATACATGCCCTGGGCTGGTATTTACAAAACAACTTAACTCCTCAAATCCTAAAGACCATGCTGAAGGTCCACAGTACACATTTCTCTTGAAGAAAAATCAACCTAGTGCTGCTGGGAAAAACAGTATGAAACCACACTACTACGGCCTCCCTCAGCAACCTTAACGCATGTATGTGTCAGCAGCCAAACTCCATTTAAACACATGCTTCACAACTGTGAGCACAAGCAGCTTTTTGGAAGCAGAGGCTTTCTGCAAATCACTGTTAAGTTTCACTAGAAAAACAGGAGTCAGCACAGGGTTTGGCCTCATCTGCCACTCAAAGCAGCGCCCAGGGGAGCGCTGTTAGAGACTCGCTCATGGGATGTGCTGGAAGTGGATTTGCAGTCAGTGATGTACGAACAAGCCCCTGGCAAGGGGTGAGCCAGTGTGTCAAAGCAACACTACCTCCAGGGATCAATATGGTCACACAGAAAAAGGGAAGGACAAATCTCCCAAGAACCTCCTGAGCTGCTACTACTGACTGTGATCAAGTGCTCCAGCAATCATCCCAGGTATAGCAGTGACAGGACAAGCGACCCTAGGAAGAAACAGCTCCAGAGAGAATAAATTCATTCCCCATTGGCACAGAAGTTTGTTCACCTACTCCCAGTCCACAGCTGCAACTGACATCACCCAAACAGGCACCAAGCAACACACTAGGCTGCTGCAAAGTCCAAGTGAGGTCACCCAGCATGCCAATGTGCACTGCTGGGCAGATAAGGCTCCAAAGGCAGGATGGCGAGCACCGAGACCGCATTTCTCTAGTGAACTTCAATCCTTTGAGCATGACTGGCCCTGCACTGAGTACTCCCATTTCCAATGCATTTGCTGAGAAAGCTTGGATGAGAATACAGGACAGTAACATGCTCAAGTATTTCCAATTTTTTTTTCCCTGGAAAACAACAAAAGCACATTCAATAGCATAGGACTCCAGATAGGCTTTACCTGCAGCTGCACTCCCCTCTTGTCTTCATTTTCTACATGCAGGCGAATCCGTGCAAACTTTTCATCGGAGATGTGCAGCATGATCATGCCATGCAGCTCCATGTTCTGCAACCCTCCATCACGGCCACAAGTCAAGGAGATTTTCTCCTCTATTTTCATGTGCACACTAGACAGATAGAGAAAAAGCTCGAGTCCTGCGCTCATCTCCCAGGCAGCAGAGAGATCAGTGCTCAGAAAGGACAGGCTGTGTGTACTGAGCAAGAGCTCCTGAACAGAACAGCATGGGCAGCACCACGGGGGCTAATGCTGCTCTGACAGGTGAACTCGGGGGCAGGAGAATCCATGGATATGGGTCTGCCAGGGATGGGACCCCAGTTAAACAGCACTGATGCAGCATCTCGACATGGTGGTCACTCAAATCCCCTCTGCCAGGCCACAGCACTTCAGGCACTGAAAGGTTCTGAACTGCTGCATGTAAAACGAAGCATGAATGCCTCCATCCTGAGTGGCAATGAGGCAGGGAAACAGGGAAAAAAGCAGCTATTTGAAGGCAAAAGGCACAGAAGATTCCCAACCTCAGCTCAACAATGGATGGACATCCCATTTTAGTTAGGAAGACGCCTAACCAAACTAGCTATTTACTTTCTTGCTGCCATGCTTTCCCAGATTTTGCCCACCAACGGTTATAGTGACAAGGTAAGGGAGCACAGGAAAAAGCCTAAAAGGAACAGGAAGGCTCTCTCCCAGGGCCACACACAGGGAGAGCTGTGAGGAGACCACTTCCAAAGCAAGGGCAGCACTCACCTCTCCATGTTAATAGGAGGAGCAAGAACTTTGGCTGCTTCTGCAGAGCGCTTGCCTACGGAAGTCATGATATTTTCTCCTTCTGATTTCAGCTTGTCCACAAAGTTGTCCACCTCCTTCCCCTTAGCGCCGAGCTTCAAGGCTTTACTGGGACCTGAAGGTCTAAACAGAGGTCAAGTCAGCTCACTGCAACAGGTTCCTCCTTCCTGGTTATCTTCAAGTACTATAACTTGACCATCCCAACACCACACCATTCACTTTGGCACCCTTTTTTGGGGAGAACATGCACAGTACTATTGTCTTACATGTCAGGTGCTAAGCTATAATTTAGATCTGGATTCTGTTCTGTGTATTACCAGGAGTTGGGGCCTCTTTTTCTCATGCATAATGGGAAACTCATTGCTCATCCAAGATTCCAGGGAGACTACAAGGGGTGTTACTGTGGTACATGGCACAAATGCTCCTCAACAGTTACACAGATGAGGAACCTATGTTAGAACTTCTCTTTGGGCACATAGTTTGAGCCACCGCTGGCTCCAGAGAACATTTGCCACCTGCTGTCCCCCTACCTGGCTGGTGCTGGTGCCACTTTGGGCTTCTCAGTCTCAATGATGGTCTCTGTGATCATTGCTGCCGTCGTGCCCCCAGACACGGCCGAGCTGCCGAAGCCCCCAAACCCGGGTGCCTTCTTGCCGTGTCTCTCTGCGTCCCTCCTGGCCTGCTGCAGCTCCTTGGCTTTACGGCGCATCTCAGCTTTTGCTTCGCGTTCCTGCGTCTGAAAGAAGAGACAGGAGGCTGACGGAGCTTTGCAACCTCAACTTCAGCCTGCACAGGAACTAAGTGCAGTTGCCCACAAACCCCTTGCCAACAAAAATGAAACAAGATACAGGTTTAGACAGATACAGAATACAAGTTTACAGAAAAGCTAAATAACTGTATGGCCCTACCAAAGTGGAAGAACACCTCTGTATAGCAAAGGTGGCATTTCCCAGACATGGCACCTCGTGCCAAGCTCGCAGGTGTCCGTGCTCACCTCTCGGACTGCCCGGAACACCTTTTCCTCATGCGAGTCCATCTCAGTGAAGGTCCGAATTTGTGCCAGATTTACGTTCTCGCGGTAGCCCAGGGCGACGATTTCATCAAATGCAAAGATCAGGTCAAAGCAGTGTTCAGAGATCTCATTCTCCTCCAGAGCTCGACAATATTCAGGGATCTAGTAGGAGAACACACTTTAAAGGAGTACCCACAGAGAGTACTGTGTAAACACTCTCCTTCTACCATCCCAGAGGTCACAGCTGTGCTGACCCTCCCAACCCCAGTGCACCCTTCCACTGCTCCAGGTACCATTAAGCTGTTGATAAACAAGATGAAGTTTTGCCATTATTAGTTTTTCTACACTAAAATCCTTACAGAACCTCTCAGCTTCCTTGTAACACTAACTCAGAGGAGCCCAACTGCATGCTAGGGCCAGCAGATTTCCTGAAGATACTTTGATTGTATGAAGAGACAAACTTGCTTCTTCAGGATCCCTACAAAGCAACCCGCACTTGTAACATCATGTTACTTTTTGAAGTAATATGAGCCTTAGGTTAATAATACAGAGAACATTTAATGCTAAATTACCATCAGCCCTTTGGTCTCGTCAACTGAACTACAACTGAGGATTTCTTATGGTAAGTTCAAAACTACCATCAAAACTTCAGAGCTTTCTTCCCAGTCAGGAAGGGAAGCTCTGGAACACCAAGCTGCCAGGTAGAGACGGGCAGTGCTCCAGCACCAGCTTAGAAACAAGTGCCCCACAATGGCGCCGTTCTGGGCTACAGCCACATCACCGAGTGACAGATCCTTACCACTCTAGAGAAAAGCCGGAGTGTTTCCAGGTCTTCCAGGATGTTGCTGTTCTTGGTGGTGATCAGCACCATGTAGAGCTTCTCCATGGGCTGGTAGACGTACCGCACGCTCTCCGTCTCCACGAACGTGTGCTGCTTCCCCGTGTTCATCAGCTTTGGGAACGCCGCCAGCAGCCCCTCGATGCGGGTGCGGGTCATCTCCACGAACTGCCGGGACACGATGGCCTTCCCCGCCTTCGTGCACACGGCGGCTGCCAACAGCACCTGGGCGAGCGGAGCGGGTGAGCCTGGCGCACGGAAAGGATCACTTCCCACCACACCTCACCTGCATGCACTCAGAATGTGATTTTATGTCTTTTTCTGTGACCAGGAACCGAATTACGCCAAGAGCAGAGACATCTCTGTTTTTCTCTCTCCATTCCATGTTCTGTCCCTACGTTAACCTCAGAGCTCTCCCTGCTCCTGTCAAGCAAATGAACCCGTTCCCGATTCCACACACACCCAGGTGTAACAACCCACTGGAGCGTCAGGGGAGGCTCCAGGAGATGGACTTTTCCATCAGGCTGCCCCGGCTTACTACATACAGGAACGCTGTGAAATGTGACATCTCTCCCAGTGCCACACGCACAGCACAGCCAGGTTGATGCAGCCCCGGTTATCACCCACAGGCCTCGGGTGCCTCCCGGGCAGCTCGCAAGCGTTATCACTCGCCAGCTGCACTTTGTCTTCCTTCTTCTCTCTGTCTGCCCAGACTTCCTCCCGACATTTCCCTCTCACAGATCAGTTTCTTAATTACCTTTGTCAGAATAACGCTGTTCTGCACTTCAGAGCTTTTAAATCCCCAAACGGACAGAAGGTACCCAAAACCCTCCAACACGGCATCACTGGTCCCTGCCGCAGGCGGAGCCGTGCGCGGGGGGTCTGTGCTGATCCCCACACCGCTGCCACGGGGAAAAGGAGCCGGAGCAGCCCCGCGAGAGACAGAGCTCTCAGGGCCACAGCGCGGGGCAGGTGGGCACCGCCCGCCCGGCTACACCTGAGACCCCGAACGTGAAGCAGCGGGCTCAGGAAGCACCGCGGCTCCGAGACAGCCGGGGCGAGCTGCCGCGGCCCCGCCGGCCCTGGGCGGCAGCGCCGCGCTCCGTCCCGCCAGGCCGCGGACTCCAGCGCCGGCCTGCGCGCAGGCCCGGCAGGCCCGGGGGCTGCCCCAGAGACTGCCGCGAGCCCCGCGCCGCCCGCGACGGGCGGGCCCTTCCCTTACCATGGCGGCGGAGACGGCGGGAGCGGCGCTCGGTCCGTCCGGTCCCCGGGCGGCCCCGCAAGATGGCGGCGCCGCGCCACGTCCGCACCCGGAAATGTCGTCACGGGGGGGCGGGGCGGTGGCTCCTCCCCGCCGCCAGGGGGCGCGCGCGCCCCAGGGCCACTCTGGCCGGCCGGAGGGGTGGGGTTGCCATGGCGACGGCAGCGGCGCGGAGGGACACAGGGAAGGCGGAGGTGGGACGCGGTGGGACACGGGGGGACCCGGCGGGACCCGGGGGGACCCGGCGGGCGGTGGGTGTGGGCCCTGGGCCACCCTGCCCCTGACTTTGCCTCTCGGCCTAGCCCCGCCCGGTGGAGAACCAGCCTTTCGACGAGAGCCTGGAGCTGCCCGAGGCCGAGCCCGGGGCCCGCTCGCCACGGGCGGGGGGCGCGGGCCGCCCGCGGGGCTCCCGCCGGCCCACGGTGTCCGGCGGCGCCGCCGAGCGCGGGAGCGGCGAGCGGGGCGACAGCGGAAAGGTACGAGCGGGGCGGGCGGGGGGACGGCCCGGCGACAGCCGGGGACACCCGGTGAGAACGTAGTTCTCTCGCCCAGGAGGAGGCAGTGGCCCACCCCGCCGCCCTCAGCGAGGACGACGACGAGGACGATGAGGACTCGGAGGAGGATTCGTCGGAGAGCGACTCGGAGGATGACTCTGAGGATGACTCGGAGGAGCAGGGGGCCGCGCTGGAGGGGTGAGTGGCATTACCGGCTGGACGAGCTGGGGCCGGGGCTGGTGGGGACTGTACAGGACCCTCTGCTGATCCCCTGATCCCTAATCCTGCGAGGGTGAGCGAGATCGTGGGCATCGGGACAGGCAGCTCGTCCCCAGTGCTCCAGGGTGGTGGTTCCTCCAGGTGATGAACCAGCCCCAGGTGCTGTTTGCTGTGCCCAGGAGAGGCAGGGCTGGAACAACCCAAGGTGTCAGCCAGCCTTGGGAAGGACCATCTCAAACACGTCACTCAGCTCCTGATAATCCTCCTCCTTTTCCAACATTTTCAGCTCCAAAGCCATTGCTGACCACGTCACTGCTGTCCCAATGTCTGCCTTTGTGCAGAGCACTTAGCCCCTTTCTGACAACTCTGTGGAGCTATATGATCACAACTATCCCTCACTCAAGTGCTTTTCTTGGCCAGCAGGTCCAAGGCAAAACAGGGCCCAGTAGAACCTGCCACACATTAATCTTTGCCCATGACTCTCTTCCTTTCTTTAGTGACTTCAATCCAGCAGATTTTGACTACCTGCAAGTGTCTTCTGAAATCAAAGACCTCTTTGAATACATCAAGAGGTGAGTGGAGGGGTTTTGGCCTGCTCTTGGCTCTCTTTTGTGTCAATTACTGCAGCACAGTTCCCGGTCACAGATGCTGTGGTGGTGGTTTTTTGCAGGTACACTCCCAAAACAATAGAGATCGAGCACAAGCTGCAGCCTTTTATTCCAGACTTTATTCCCGCCGTTGGGGACATTGATGCGTTCCTAAAGGTACAGTTTCTTCAGGTTCCTGTCCCGGCCCTGCCCCGCGGGGCAGTGGGCGTGGCAGGGGCGAGTCTTTTGCTGCGCTCTCGGACATAATGGGCAGAGACCTGGAAAGGTACAGCCGGTGGCTCGGTCACCTCTCACACAGCACTTAGGTAACTTGGGGTGAGGGCTGGGTTTTCCCTTCTCCAACACCACGCGCTGTTCAGGCAGCACTGTCCTGAGTACGCGCATCCGAGGGAGCTCACGGAGAGGCTCTGTACAAACCTGCCCTGGGCTCTGCAGAGAGGGCTCTGTTCTCCTGCAGGTTCCCCGTCCTGACTGGAAGCCTGACAACCTTGGCCTGCTGGTCCTGGATGAGCCCTCGACCAAGCAGTCAGATCCCACTGTGCTCTCCCTTTGGCTGACAGAGAACTCCAAGCAGCACAACATCACAGTGAGTCAGGGAGAGGGAGGTTGCACTTGCTGCACACTGCCTGGAGTGAAACCATGGCATTTTACTCTTACTTTAGTCTCTGTGACTCCAGTGTTGTGGTACAACTGAGAACTTGACTGTAAAAGCAACAAAAATGAACCTTTTGCTTTAATCCATAGCTTTAAACTGCAACAAAAATGCAAATTTTGGTACAGACTCTGAGTCTGTTCCCTTTGGGTGATGCTTTATTTCCTTTTGGTTGTCCATACCTGGTTTTAGTTGGCGTTTTGCCTGCAGAAATCCATTGATAAAGTGCAGCTGGGAAAGAGAGAAGCCCTGGTTCATCAGGAGCGAACACAGGGTTCTCAAAAAGCCCCAGAACACCACAAAACACTTCCAGGTTTATATTCGTGTTTTTAGCAGCAGATAAAAGTGAAGAGTTTGGAGAATGCAGAGAAGAACCCCAAAGCCATTGACAGCTGGATTGAAAGTATCAGTGAACTGCACCGCTGCAAACCTCCCGCCACAGTCCATTACTCCAGGTGATCCCTGACGTCAGCTCGCCAGTCTGGCAGTGGAAGGTTGTGTGTGATCCTAAAGTTTGTTTTTCTCTTCCCTGGCAGGCCAATGCCTGACATTGAGACCCTGATGCAGGAATGGTCACCAGAATTTGAGGAGCTCTTGGGAAAGGTATGTTTGTCTGAGTGATTGGTAATTAGCTCAACGCATGGACTTAGAAACCATCTGCCACGAAAGCCAGGTGCCTGCTCCATCCCGCAGCTCAGTCCGCTCGTTCCTCCTCACCACTTCCCCCTTGCCAGAAGTTGGAGAGCAGCCCAATGCTGGAATTCCCAGCTGCTGCCCCAGTGGCCTTGTGTGTGCTCCCAGGCTCCTGCAGTCCAGGAGCAGAGCTGATGGCCCCGTCTGTTCCAGGTGGGCCTCCCGACCGCGGAGATGAGCTGTGACCTCGCTGAATACATCGACATGATCTGCGGTGAGCTGGGGAGGCTGTGCTGGGGACACAACTTGCTGCTGGCCTGGTGCTCTCACTGAAAGCCAGAGGGCTTTAGCTAGAGGCTGCTGCCTCAGTGGGAAATGGCTCTTGTACTGCAGGGGACTGCAGTCCTTGGTGCACAGAAGCCCAAGTGATGGTGGGCAGCGGGGAACTCAGCTCTTCTTGACAAGGGTGCAAGCCCAGGTGCCCTCACACGCTGCTGCTCTTGCCCATAGCCATTCTGGACATCCCCGTGTACAAGAGCCGGATCCAGCCTCTGCATGTCCTCTTTTCCCTCTTCTCGGAGTTCAAGAACTCGCAGGTAGGCAGCTCCAGCCAGGTGCTGCTCACCCTGCTGGCAGCATTGCCCAGGTCCTGTTTGGCTTTCTGGAGCAGTGGGTGTGTGCAAAGGGCTGTGGGCCCTGGGAATGTATTCTTGCTGCTCCTGTCCCTGGTGCCTCTGCCTGACGCAGGGAGCTCGGCTGTGCTGCCCAGCTGGGGTGCCACGTTGTTCAACAGGCCAGCATGAGCCAGAGCATGTTTCCTTGGGGCACTGCTGAGCACACAGCTCACACACAGCTGATGTGGCCAGTGTGTTCAGATGCATGTACTCTGAGCAACAGGAGTCAGATATTTGCATGAGCACATTCTTTTCCCTGCAGCACTTCAAGCCCCTGGCTGATGGGCAGAAAGGCAGGAGCCCACCATCCAACCCACCCTCACAAGCAGCAGAGGCAGAGGTGGTGAGCTTTACCTGAAGCTTCACATTAAACCCTCATCTCCTGGATCACTGTCTGCTGCTGGACACCAAGGTGTGCCCAGAGCAGGCTGTGAAATGTCACACAGCACATCAAAAGCCTCCTTGGTCTTGGAGACATTGCTAGGCTTTTCTGTGTTTGGAGAGTAGGACTTGACTCATCATTTTTGTTGCAGAAGCTGCCTAATGGCTGTTTTTGACTTGTTCCCAAGGAGTTCAGCATTAAACCAGCCTTTCCTAGTGTCAGGCTCCCTGTGCTGTAGCTGCTGCAGAGCAGAGGTTCCTTGAGCACATGCTACAAGGGTGGAGCAAACAGGAATAAATTCCACGCTCAGACACAACACTCAGATCTGCCCAGGGTGTTCCTAGTCTGACCTGGGGATCTTGAATCTCTCTGCCCCTTATTACTGAGCCCCCTTTTCCTGTTCTCAAGCCCTTTATCTCTTGCCAAGGAAAATAACCTGCGCAGCACCACACAGACGCTCGAGTTTAGTTTATTGCTGTTGGAACGACTCTCCCCAGCCCCTGCCTTACTGCCTGCCCACCCATCTGCCACAGCAGCAGGGGCAGAGAGGATCATGCAGCAAGCGAGTCACAAACCTGCTAAAGCAAGGCTGGTGCTTGGCCTTACCCTGGGAGGAATCACAGCACTAGAGCCTGGCTATAAAGAGCTTTGATGCGTTTTGATTATAACAGTCTATTGGGAAAGTGAATGGGCTACATAAAAACATGCTTTGGCTGCCAGCGCAGCTCTTGAGCCCTGCAGTAGGCAGTGTAGCACAGAGCCAGGGCTGCTCAGCGCCCACCTCCCAGAACAGCCTCCCTGGCACCCTTGGCTGCCCTGCTCCAGGGGCTGGTACGTACCTGGGGCCGGGCACCTGGCCATGGGCACCGCGACTCACAGCCAGATCTCGTCGCTGCTTACGCTGGGCACTTTGTAGATGCGCCCAGACATTGGGAGCTGGACAAAACCTGTAGGACAAACAGCTCATTGCCTTCTGGGGCAACCACGGAGCTCAGTATCCCACAGCACAACTTTTGGGGGCCATTCGCCCACCTGCACCTCCTCACCAAGCTTGTTGAGGACAAGGTAATTCTCCAGCCCTGGCAGGGCACTATCTTCTCCCCTGGCACCAGCTCCCACATCCTTGGGGGAAGCTGCAGGGCAGAAAAGGAGCAAAAGCCAGGACATCTATCCCTCACCAAGGCAGCACCCGTGGCCCTATGTGTCTTGCTGCACTGGTACATTGGGGTTTTACCTCCATCCTCCTGTGCGAGGTCACTGAGGTGCAGGTCAGGCGGCAGGGACCGGGTCTGGCGGGGCAGGCGTGTGCCCTGGGGCTGTGGGTGCTCGGAGCCACTGCAACGGGAGCACCGGCTGGGCGGGCTGCTCCCTTCTGCTCGCCCTGGGCCTGGCACCGGCTTGGGTGAGCGGCACGCCAGGCAGGCAGCACAGGAGCCCAGGCTGAGCAGAGTGGCCAGGGCCAGTGCTGCTCCGACGGCAACACCCAGGAGGGGCAGCTCCACATGGGCATCCAGCAGACCTGCACAGGCAGTGCAGCCCCCTCAGCACCCCTCCACACAGCTGCTGTGCTGTGCCCACCCCCCCAACAGCTACCTGTGGGTAGGAGCGAGGTGGTGGTGATGCCCACGCTGTTGGCAGCGCTGACAGAGAAGTTCCCAGCCACGCTGCTGAGATGGATGTGGAGCGAGTGGTTGGCCAGCCCTGGGTAGTGTGTGGCACCCAGGAGGAGGAACTCAGAGGCATTGGCCATCACATGGCCATCCTGGTCCACCCAGGTGATGCTGGCAGGTGGGTTGGCTTGCACCAGCACAAAGAGCACCAGGAGGAGGCCAGAACCCTCGACCTCCTGGTAGTGGGCACCTGCCCTCAGGATCTCCGGCTTATCTGCGTAAAAACCAGAAACAGTGAGATGGGCAGGAGGGATGGGGGCAACACAGAGTAGGATTTGTCTCGCCAGGGTCCAGGAGCACTTCCTGCCTCATCTGCATGGGACTGACAAGCTGCTGCTCTGCTATGGCTGTGATGGACACGGGTTATGTTGTCCAGCCTCTCCCAGGCTGGAGCCCCACCCACCCTCCCCACATCCCAGTCTGAAGCAGGCCAGTGCTGTGGACCTTACACTGCACGTTGAGGAGGACAGAGGCATTGTAGGTCTCCTCTGAGGCTGGGTCGGTCAGGGAGCAGTTGAGTTGATGGTCGGAGCGCCGGGCAGTGAGGGTGAGGGTGCTGGCAGTGCCTGCAGCTGAGAGGTTGGCTTCCTGCCTCTGGCCGTTGAGGTACCAGGCCAGTGTGGCACCGGGCACTGGCTGGGGGACCCGGCAGGTGAAGGCACGGCTCTCCCCCTCCTGCAGCGTGCACACTGTCCACGGCTGCCCGTCGATGGTGGGGCCCAGTTCCCCCAGCCCTGCCGGAGAGCCCGCGGCACGTCAGAGCTGCAGCGGGGGTCCTGCTGCCGGAGCTGTGCAACGGACCCCACCACAGCCTCACCTGCCGAGGAGAGCGCCGGGAGGCCGAGCAGCAGGAGGGGGGCAAGGGCAGACCCCGGCGAGCCCCTTGGACACCCCATGGCATATCAGCCGTGCTCAGCGCTAGGAGAGAGGCAGCTGGAGCAGGGATATGCGGCCGTCCCCGCGCGGGGCCCGCGGTGTTCCAGCACACAGCAGGGCCGGAGGTTGTGGCCCGGCTGCACCTTACCTGCGGCATCGCTGCTGCTGTGCCCAGCCCGGTCTGCAGTGCGGCTCTGCGCCTGGGCCCCGGCACGCAGGGCCGTGCATGAGCGCAGGGGCGGGCCCGGCGCAGCTGCGAGATCCGTCCATCCCTCCCGCTGGGCGCCGCCACTGCCGCCCCCGAGCGGGACCGCTGCGCGCAGCCGCCGGGACGGGCCCGCTGCACGCGAGAGCGGCACCCGGGAGGGATGGGGGATGCACCTTCCCGTGCACCCCATCTCCCTTCTTCAACGGAGGGGCCCAGCCTCACGGCCACCAGGGCCCCCATCTAACCGGGCTGTGCGCGCTCGGGAATCGCGGCACAACGCCCGCAACGCTGCAAGCGGAGCCCAAGTGCCAGGGACAGGAGGAGGTTTATTGGGAGTGGAGCAGAGCAAGACACAAACAGCAAGGCGCTTCGGTACTTCCCGTCCCCGGCTACCAGCCAGAAGGAGGAACAGGATCTCTGACACCAGAGATAGACCTTCTCCAGCAGCCAGGACGTGCCTGCCTATAGGCCACCTCGGGAACGTGACTCTACCCAGCCCACTCACTCGCTCCCTGTGCCATTGGGGTTGCGCAGCCGCCCCAGCATCTCGCAGAGCATTTGGTTGCAGAGCGCCGAGTAGGGGTTCAGCAGCACCAGCTGCCGCCGGGCAAAGGCGCTGCCCAGGCGCGCCGCGCACTCGAAATCCCGCCGAGCGTCTTCGTCCCGCGCCTGCAGCCGGTGGATGAGGCCACGCTGCACGAAGCTCTGGCAGGCGGCTCGGCCGCGCCCACGGCTCAGGCGGATGGCGGTGTCCAGGTCCTGGAGGGCACCTGGTGAGGGGGAGAGAGGCGTCGGTGGGGTATTGGGATACCAGGGGACCACCCGCTCCTGTGCTGCTCACCTGCCACGTCCCCCCGCAGGCGCAGGGCCTGGGCCCGGTTGTTGTAGCCCGAGGCACGCTCAGGCAGCAGGCGAATGGCTTCGCTGAACCGCTCCAGGGCCGTGCTCACATCTCCCGACTCAGCCGCAGAAACGCCCTGCAGCTCCAGGTCCCGGACCTGCTCCAGCAACTCCAATGGAAAAGCTTCCACTGTGGCAGTGCAAACAGGAGCCCTTGGCTAGGAAGTGGTGGCACCAGGACACCCCGTGGGCTGCAAACCTTAGTGCCACCCTACACCTCCAGTCCAGGGAGGGAACAGGCACAGGAGAGGGTGGTGAGGTCCAGCCTCAGGCAGGAGCTGCTCCCAGCCTGCAGAGCCTCCCTTCCCTGACTGCTGGCTCACCCCATGGGGACCCCACCACCCATTCCAGTGAGAACCCAGCGCAGTGTCACCTCACCTTCCAAATCGACGTCCTCCTCCTCCTCCTCATCCAACCCTGGGATGTCCCCAAAAGGGGTGCTGGGGTTAAAGATGGTCTGCAGGACAGCCCTGTCGTTCGCCGTGGCCATGGTGCCCTCTGTGCCACTGAGGCCTGTGACGGGGCTCCAGGGGCAGGCTGTGGGTTGGTTAATGTTCACACTGGCAGCCCCACCTCACCCTGCCCCATCCTATCGCAGCCCGGGCGTGAGGCCCCACCACCCGGCCAGTGCCCCCCACATGCACTGGAGCTGAGGGCTCCTCACCAAACACCCCGTGCAGCCCTCGGTGCTGGCCAGGGGCTCCTGTCCCCAGCAAATTTCCTGGAGGAGAAGCAGCTTCTCAATCCTCAAGAAGAAATGGAGAGCAGCCCTCTGCAGCAATAAACTTGACATGTTTATTAATTAAACTATCACTTAAATAAAAAAAAGTGCATAGAAAATAAACATGTTTAAAAACTCCTTTGTTTTTTTGTATTTTTACAACTATGTACACTTTTTATTTTTACATTCAGTCTTTTGCAGAGCTTTCAGCATTTTTTAAACTATTAAAGTATTTCCTTCTTCCCTGTGGCAGGGAGTTAACACTGATGTACTTTAGACACGTTTCCTCTTTTTTTTTTTTTAAAAAAAAACAAAAACAACCAGAAGCTTGGAAGAACACAAGAAAAAAAAACGTTTTGTTATACATGATAAGTTGTCAAGAAATGTATTTCTAGAACATAACCTTGCCTTTGCAGAGCTTTTTTTTTTTTTTTAAACAATTATTCACCTACCTGTAGTTACTAAAGAGACTGTAAGTTCAATAAAAGAAACACCACAAGTATAGTTCTCGGCTGATAGACAAAGCTACTGTACCTCGTTAAAAAGATACCAGGAAAGCACAGAGCACATTTTTCCCTATATGCAGGTGGTACCCCAACATTCATAACCAAAACGAGAGGAAGGAAAGGAAGAAACCAAGTTGTACAAGTACTGACTGTAACAAGAAGGGCCAGGAAAGGCCGAGCCACCCGCTCCCGGCTCCCTGCCCTGGCTGCCAGCGGGAACGCGCAGCAAGGCTTTCCCAGCGCCGTGAGCAACTGTAACACAATCCTTATCTATAGTGTTAAGAGAATTAAAAGCCATGGACCGATACTGAACTAGGCTTCATTACACGGTGCATTACTATATTAGTTCCTATATATACTGTATTTATAGTTATAAAAAAAACTTGCGAGTGTTGAGAGTGGACCAGTGTATGGGTGAATGGCATGATTCTGCACAGACCGTCCTGCTGAAGAACCTGGTATTGCTTTGAAATGAAAGAAAACCAGAAAGAAAAGATACCCAGCCCTTTGCAATGACCCGCTTCTCCTTTAAAAAAAAAACCATGTCGCTTTGTACAAAGAAAAATAAACGCCCTAAGGTTCCTTTTTTAGTATTTTCAGATACCATGATCTGTGTCAGTCCTTATAAAATATACATTCATACATGGGGAGCTGGGTGCTCCCGACCGGCTGGGGCGAGGGCGGGCAGGCTGAGCCCCCACGGCCACGGCTGCCCCGGCCCTGCTGCCGCTCGCCCACGGGCCCGGGCACAGCTCCCCGGGGGTACAGACAGTTTCACTGGCCACAGCAGCTCCCGCCAAGGCAGCCGCGACGGGAATAGCAGCAAAGCGGGCAGCCCGCCGGCTCGGCTGGTCCCGGCGGGAGGAGGATGCCTGGCACTTGGATCTCGGGGGGCTCCCCCCGACCCTCCTTCCCACCTCTCCCCATGTGGGGTGGCTCTGGGCAGCGCTTCCCAGCGGAGCCTCCTCCCGCAGCCAGGACATCGGGAGGCGGCAGCAGCGCGGCGGAGCTGAGCTCTGGGATAAATTCATGGGCTTCGCCACAAGGAGGGCTGAGCCCTCACCCTGCGTCAGAAACAGGGAAGGAAAAGGGCCGAGAGCAGCCGTGCCCGGGGCCACGGGGCCCAGATCCCCAGGGCGGGCACTCTCCGGGCTCCTCAAGGTATGTGCGTTCCCAAACTGTCAGTGCATCAAATCATCTCAGTAACAAATGCAGCGTCAATGTGACTTTGCTTTCAACAGTTACCACCAAATTATCCTCACACAGTGCAATAACGAAAGGAAACCGGCAGGTCACGACCCTCCAAGCGCTGTTTTATCCTTCTCAGGGCAGAGGAAGAATTCTCAAGACCCGAGAGGTGCAGATTCGGGGTGCCCCTCTGAGAGACCTGGGGAGTCAGCAGCTGTTCCTGGTCCCTTCCCCGCCAGCTGCTGGTGCCGGTTCAGAGCAGCCCTCGGACCCACCGGCTCCTGGAACGGCCGCCGACCAACCCCACAGGGACAGCTCAGGAAAGCGAGAGCACTCCCTGCTTTCCCCTCTCCGCGGAAAAACCCATCTGCCTTTGAGGGAGAGACTGAAGGAGGAGGCGCGTGCCCCAGACCGGCCTCTTTCGTCCCAGAAAAGAGGCATCGAGGGTCAGGTCTCTCATTCGGTCTCGCTTTTTTTTTTTAAACCCTCGGCTAGTGCACAGCAAGGCGGAGTCACACCTCCTGCCCGGGGCACAGACTGTCCTCCCACAGAGCCAAACTCCTCCCATGCTGGGCAGCTCTCCCTCCTGCCCCCATCCTTACAGGCAAGTACAGTTTAAGGTCCAGCCAACCCTCCTGGAGACAGTTACTGAAGTCAAAAAGGCAGAACAAGAGTAGAAAACAAAACTAAAGCAACCCCCCCTCTGGAGAAAGGCTCAGACTGTGTCCAGCCAGGTATTTCCTAGAACCGTCCTATGAAAATAAAAAAATCATTAAAAAGAGATTCTCTTAAATTAGGATAATACCACTGTTTAAAAAGCCTCGTCATAAGTGCTTTCCCCTATGAAGTGCTTCTCATAGAAAAATATACAAAATATATTTACATTTATAAAACCTTAAATACTAAACTGTAAACAGAACAGAGCAGAATCCAATGTCGTCGCTGTCAGGGGCTCTCACTTCTCTCTCAGGTTTTGCTCTGAGGCGCAGGGCAGACCCTGTGGGCAGGAGGACTCGCGCCGCTCCAACCAGGATGGTGGTGTCCCTAAACTCACCCAGACCCCGCTTGGTTCCTGAGCCACCACCTCACGTTTCCTATGGGTTTTGGGATGCTGTGCAGACAAGGCTGGCTGGTGCTTGGCCTTGTCTTTGCAGAGAACTTTGGCTCCATTTTGGTGCCCTTCCCGTGCCTTTCGTGGAACACGTGACTATACCCAGACAACGAACCATGACAGGCACGTGCCCAGGGTCACTCCTCTGCCTGCCCCCCTGGCCCTGGGACAGCGTGGCATGGCAGAGCAGAGCGGGTGCCCCCGCACCATTCCTTCCTAGCTCCTGCCCTACAGCGGTGTGCGGCCGAGTCCAGGGCCACCTTGCACCGCCCCTCTCTCCTTAAAGACTTCTGTCCAATCCCTTGGACCAGCTCCACAGTGGCCAAGACACTGCTGGCTGGCAATGCCAGGAGCTTGCTGAGCAGAGGATGCCAGCTGCTGGAGACAAGATCCGGAGAGAAGCACTTCCCTCTCACACAACCAGGGAGGGCAGTGCTGAAGTGGGAGCCTTTGCTGGCAAAGATTTACAGCACCCCAACTGTTGGCACGAGCCCTCTCTGCCAAAGAATGCCAGGAGTTCCCCTGCTCTTAGGCAGGGATTTCAGAGCAAGGTGCCAGCCAAACTCCCTTCTGTCTAGTTGGGGGCTGCTCTGTTCTGCTCTCCTTGTGAAGGCAGCTGAGCCAGCCCGCCACGCCGCAGAGCCCTGCGCAGGCAGGGCAGCCTCCTGCTCACAGATAGTGTTTTGCAGACATGCAGTCCCCGGGGGGAGAACTGTTGGCAAGACATAGCCCCTCTTCCCAGGAGAAAAGCTCACTCAAACTCTGTGCTACCCAACTGCTGACTCAGCCCT